GGAGCAGAAGGGCCCGTCCAGCCCTGTGGGTGGTGGGTAGGAGCAGGCCGCCTGCCCGTCACCCAGAGCAGGGCCGCGTGCGGCTGCCCGGCTGAGCTCAGCTCTGGGGAATGTGCCGGGATTCCAGGGCACGGTGCCAGCGCACGGGGAGGCGAGGGCGGGTGGCGTAGCTTCTCTCTGCTCCCCCCGTGCTCTGGGCTGCAGGGGACCAGGCGGCCTGCCTACAAGGGCTCTGCCCGCGGCTCCCATCTCGCGGGGCTGCCCCTGCGGGAGGCTGTCCCGGGGCTGAGGTGCATTAGACCCTGGTCGTGCCTGGCTGGGGCTGGCAGAACCTGCTGGGGAGTGAACACGCAGCTGGGGGAACTTTGTTTCTGTACACGGCCACACACCCCCATGGGGAAGTGGGGGAGGGAGCTGGAGTTGCAGGACCCAGAGATGGCCCTGGGGTTTCCTGCCATGCTGGGGTGGGCCCTGGCGGGTGAGGTGCCCCCACAGTCCTGGGGAGCAGCGGCTCAGGGGCCCAGCGGGTGTGGGGCCCAGCTGGAGCTGTAACTGAGGTGGGGTGCCAGGCAAAGGAGGTGCCCCAATGCCAGTGGCAGGTGCAGGGAATGGGGGTCAGGCAGCCCCACTAGGGGCCCCCGGGGCACCCGAACCCTGGCTGTTCCCTGGAGCCGAGCCCAGGCCGGGGGGTGCCGTGGCCGCGCCCCACGCTCCCGGCACAGCCGAGCAGGGCGCCAGCCGCCGACTGCAGCGTGTGTGGGAGGCTGGCTGCACGTAGGCAGCCTTAACCCCTTCACCACTGGCCCGGGGCGCCCGCAGGCTGGGGGTAGGGGTCATGCTGGGGGCGCTGGGCAGGGAACGGTAGTGATGTGCCGATCCAGGCTCAGGCCGCTGGGCGCGCGGGAGCTGCATGGAGAGGGGTTTCTGGGGGGCCCGGCTGGTTGCTGGGTGCCGGGGGGGGGGGGCAGGGAGGGGGGGGGGGCTGGTCTCCCCAGGGTAGGGCTCGGGCAGCCCCTCAGGCAGCCGGCTGGGAAGCAGCGCTCGACGTGGGGTGCTGTGTGGACGGGTGGGGGGTCTCCTGTGTTGTAGTGGGGGAGGGGCAGGAGCTGCCTCCTCTCAGTGGGTTCACGGGGTGCCTGGGGGGGCCTTCTCCTGGGGGTTGCCATGGTGGAGGTTCCAGCAGAGGAAGGGGCCAGGGAACAATGCACTGGGGGGGGGGGCGTCGTATGGGGGCCCAGCTGGTACCTCTCCATGCTGGGGGAGCTGTCGCAGAGGGTCTGCAGGGAGTCCAGCGGGCCCTGCTCCCCTGGCCTGGGAGGGCTGGGCAGGGCACGGGGCCGTCTCTGTCCCTGGGGGAGTCGCTGTCCCATTTTAGTACCTTCTATGCCCAAGGAAGTTTTATTTCCTAATTTCATTTGTTGGTTATACAGCAGCTAAGAGGTGGTGTTTAGCCACCGCCACAGATTTTATGTTGCTTTTAGGTTTTTTAGACCTATTTGTACCAGATTCATAGTAGTATTTGCCTGCTTGTGAATGAGACGATCCTGCAGCTGTGACAAGGAACTTAACTTATTTGTTATTACCTCCAGAGTTACAGTATTTCTAATTTTTGCTTCAAATTTAACTTTTTTTACTATGGTGTTTACTACATTTTGTTTTGCTCGGCCATTGGATTGTTGATGTGCTTTTATTTAGGTCGTTACAATAGGAAGGGAGGAGGGGGAACGATTTAGACACGTTTAACTGAGTTTAATTTATACTAATTTTTATATCTATTAATAGAGGATTTAACAAGACTTTTCCTGGATCGCTTTGAGTTACAAAGAACTTTGGGTTTTTATTTTAATTGCGGTACCTTTTGTGAATGCAGAGTTTTTGGTTTATTTTTTGGTGCATGTGTTCGGGAACCAGAGGTTCAGTTCACTACGGGGTATTGGGCAGTACCCCACAATAATGGTTAGTGTCATCCCTGGTTTAACAGGCTTATTTTATTGATATGGTAATTGCGGGTAGCTGGAGCTCCAGGTGGTATTTTCATAGGGACCCTTTATTTTAACCCCTATTTCCCAGTGGTTTGGGATTTCTGTGGTGTTCCCCTTCCCAGGCGTGCACATTGGTATTTTGTAAGGGTTTTAAGATTTGGCTAGGGTTTTTATTACACCATTCCATGAGGGTTACCAGATCACGGGTGGGAATTTATGATTGGTTGGCAGGGAGCGAATTATTCCTTAAATATTGGCTTACAAGGAGGGCTGCGTTGGGGTGCGTGCTGCAGGGAGGCGGTTGGGGAGAGGGCCTAGGAGGCAGGGTGAAGCTGCTCTCAGCGGGCTGGGGGTGCCTTGGCTCTGGGGTGCTGGGCTCGCCCAGCCCTCTGGCAGCCGAATGGGGTGGGGGGCGCAGGCTCTGTCTGTTCCATGCAGCCCCCTGCCCAATCAGTGGGAATCCAGGCGCCGCCTCTGCTACCGGGGCTGGCTCCTGGCCATTAGCATGGCAGCCATGTGCTCCGCCCCCCACGGTGTCCCCCCTGCCCCTCCCCCCCGCTGTGGGATCCTGTTATGGGGATCCAGTGACGTGGGAGGAGTGGGGGGGCAGGGACTGACACAGAGCTGGGATCTCCCCTGCCTGTTCCCCGCCCCATGGGCCCCCAGGGTGCGGAGGGGGGTGTTTGGGAAGGTTTAGGGGGCAGGCCTGGGGGGTGAGTGACCTTGGCAGGAGATGGGGCAGGCCTGGGCCGGCCCATGGGAGGAATTTGGGGCAGGGAGGGGTCTGTGCCCGGCTGGCTGACCCCTTGGAGATGGCCCCACACGCCTGCTCTGTCCTGCTGCCCTGGGCTGGCTGGGCCCAGAGATATGCAGGGATCCCGGGGGTCCTGCCCCCAATGCAAAGGGAGTGTCTCATCTGCCCCCCGCCTTTTCAGACAGCTCCTCCTGGGGGGCCCTGTCGCATGACAGCCTCCACCCTCCCCCAGTCCTGCAGCGCTTGGGGGCCGCCTCCCCTCTCCCTGCCCCTGTACAAGGGGTTTAGTCTCCATCTCTCCTGGCCAATTACCACGGGAGGAGGCGTATTAGAGGGAATGAGGCCGGGGGCTTCCCAGCCAGCAGAGCCGGAAGAGCTCACCCCTCCCCCATGGCAGGAGGCTGCCCGCTTGTCCCTGGGCCCTTCCCGACCCAGGTGGGATCCTGCCCCGGCTGCCGGGCTCCCCTGGGCATCGGGGCGCCTGGGCCCGTCTGCACTGTCCGCTCTCGCCTGCTGGCACCTCGGCTGGCTGCGCACTACGGGGGCCTTGCTGCTCCTGGTGGGGTGCAGGGGGGCTGGGACGTCCCCTGCCGGTGAGCAGGGCTCTCGCAGGCCTGGCACCTGGGCGTCCATCCCAGTCCCCAGCCCGATGGGGAGGGGCCTGCACACCCCCAGAGTGCGCTGCTGTGAACAGCGGGCCAGGGCGCGTGCGTGTGTGTGTATACGGATTTGTTTGTGTGTGTGCATGCGTGTGTATACGTGTTTGTGCGTGCATGTGTGTGCGTGTGCGTATGGGTTTGTGCGTGCGTGTGCATATGCGGGTTTGTTGTCTTCAGTTTCCCTTCATCCTCAGCTTTCTTAGGGGTGTGGACGGAACTGATACTCTCATTCGTAATTCCTCAGAGTGGAAGCCATCGCGTGCGATGAAGCTCTGAGGTCGAACTGGGATCCTTCTGTCCCGTCCCCTGTAGCGGTCAGTATTAGTAAAAATTCCTGTATTAGGATCCTATTAGGCCATAATTCCCTCTGTTCTCTGTGTAATTCTCTGTTAGAGTGTCAGCAGGCAGATGGGTGGGTCTCTGGTAAAACCCTCTGAGGATAGCCCTTTAGATTATATGTTAAGTAAATGGCCTTTACCTGGTGTTCAAAAAAAGAAATAGTTACACTTTGTTTAGCAATGGATGTGGCTAGTGTTGTGGAAATTGAATTGTGGAGAGGATGTGCATTTTCCCCAGAACATGTGCAGTGTATATTGTAGTAAAAGTAAAAAAAATGCAAACCTACCAATATAGGCTGTGTTGTCTTGTTCAAATTACTATGTGTTTAAAAGCAAAAATTAAAAATAAAAAGCAATCAAAAGTCTAAAAAAGTTAATTATGTCCCTTTTTAAGTAAAAATGTTTAAGCTGTAAACAGCTGGGTCCCTGTCTGGCCGCTCCCCCTGGGCCAGGGGGCTCCAGAGGAGCGTGGGCGAGGGGGCGCTAAGCAGGGAGCTGCGGAGGGGGCATCGCCCTAGGGGGTCACTGCCCTTAGCGCCCGGGCCCCTCAGTGGCACTGGTGCCAGGAGCTGGCTGGGAAGGCCACACCGGTGAAACGCGAGCGCCCAGGCCGAGGGGATGCTGAATAATGCAGGGCCTGGGGGAGGGACGAATGGAGAGGCAGGCGAGGCCATTGGGGGCCCAGGGGAGACACCAGGACTTGGGACGC